GCGTGTATGTGTAGGGACATGTGTGTGGAAGCCAGAGGTTGACACCAGTTTCTTCTTTGATTGGATTCACTGGCTAGCCATCTTGCTCAAAGGATTCCCTGTGCCTGCCTCCCATACCCTGGGGTTACAGACAGGCTGTCTGAGGCCATCTGGCTTTCACCTGGGTTCAGGGGATCTGAACTCTGGTCTTCATGCTTGTAAAGCAAGTACTTTGTACCCCCTGAGCTATTTCCCCAGCCCCTTAGCTTACTTCCTTTACACACAAGATGCTGTAAAGGACGGGCTCCTGTCTCCCTTCAACCTTACCCACCCACTTCCCCCTCCCTGAGCTCCAGCCTCCTGGGTTCCCATCTTCTCCTGCTTTACCACTGCTGTGTGGACCTTGTTTTGCTGTAACTCTGGCTGGAATGATCCTCCTCTACCCCTGCATTCTTGGCTCATTCCATCCTTGGACTTCAGTATGACTTCACCTCCCCAGACTAACCCTTCACTGACTACTCTTCCTGAATTGGCATCACTTTCTCTTTCGCCTTCCTGCTTACTCCTCAGAGCACTGATCAGCATCTTACATTTCCTGGCAGAGGTTTAGTTTTGATGGTCCAGGCCAATGTGTAGACTTGCCCATGATCCATCATTCCCACCAGGCACTAAACTTCATGAGGGCAGGGCTCATGATGTGTATCATGTTCAGTCTGTTATCTACAGACCCTGGCACAGAACCCAAGAAACAAAGGTTCAGACACCAGGAAGCCACCTACCCACTACACATAGGGCAGTCTTCCATGCATGGGAATGAGCTTGCTGCTACCACTTCAGGATGGAGTTGAAAGCAGCCTGGTTAGTAGCATGTATGACTTGGCACTCACTGCCCCTTATATCAGGCAAGGGCTTCTCAGACTTTGTGTCCCCATTAGAGAAACTAATGAACCCTGATGATTCCAGAGCCCAGTCTCCCACAGGTCCTTGGGATCCATGGCATGGGCCAATGCTTTGCCCTGCACCAGTCCTCCCTAGGATCAGGCACCCACAGAAATCCACGCTGAAAGTGTTCAAGTACTCTGTGTATCATGTACTCGTTTCCTCCTTGCTTGTCCACACCATCACTACCACCCATGATGCCTACCCATCCTAGGCTCTGCCTGCCCAACATCTCCTTTGTCCCACCCATCACAAGGAACAGTGCTCACAGCTGTGTTCTGGTCATCCGAGCCCCATGTTCTTGAGGTGACTAATCATTAAAACTATTCAACAAAACACAAAGTTGACTCATAGCTGGCCAATAAATTCAATTTTTTGAGAAGGAAACAGCCAGCAATCTGAAGTGAGCATGCTCAGGACAGACATGGGGTATGTCATATGAAGGTAATGTCTGAGGAAGGTGGTGTCCCACCCCAGGGCAAGGTGAAAGATTAAGTAACTGTTCCTAACCCAATAACAGTATTCACTTGGTAAAGGTACATTCACGGCCTCTGCTCTGGGTCCCAAGCCAAACCTACAAGCCAGAGGCAAAGCTGTGCCTATCCACACATCCACTTACCTACCCCCAGCCAGACAGAGAACAGCAAGCAGGTGAATTTTCAATATATTTTTCCATATTCATTTCAAATTATGGAACAAAAACCTGCTCAAAGAATTTTCAGCAAAAACCTTTGCTTCTTCATATCTAGAGGCCTCTTTTCTCATTCTGATTGTAAAGTTATGGCAGAATGTGGAGTAATAGGGCTGGCAAAATGGCTCAGTGGGTAAAGGTGCTTGCTGCCAAACCTGACAACCTGAGCTCGATCCCCAGAACCTAATGGTAGAAGAAAAGTCTTCCACAAGCTGTCTTCTGACCTCCATTCTGATACCATGGCAAGCATGTGTGTACACACACACTAAAAAAATAAATGTAACATAAAAATTTTATATTAAAAAAATTGTGGGGAAATGCTAAAAATTCCATAAAGAATTTTTTTTAAGAATAGACTTTGTGGGGATCAGTGGTTAAGAGCACTGGCTACTCTTGCAGAGAACCAAGGTTCAGTTCCCAGCAGCCACACAGAAGCTAACAAGTGTTCATAACTCAAGTTCCAGGGGATCTAATGCCTTCTCCCTCTTCTGGCCTCCACAGGCATTACACACATGTGGTATACTTATGTACATGCAGGCAAAATACACAAACACATAAAAAATAAATAAAACTTACTTTAAACGAATAGACTTTTGATCAGTCAAAATGCCACAAACTTATAACATCTATCACTTCCCATGCTTAATTCATACATCTTTAAAAACTTTTCAGATTGTGATTTTATATACACATATATAAAAGATTTATTTTATTTTTAATTGTGTGTGTGTGTGTGTGTGTGTGTGTGTGTGTGTGTGTGTATGTATGTGTATGCCTAAGGAGATCAGAAAAGGGTGTCAGATCTCCTAGAGCTGAGTTACAGACAGCGGTGAGCTTCCCAACACCGGTGCTTGGAACCAAACTCAGATCTTCTGGAAGCATAGCAAGTGTTCTTACTTGTTGAACCACCTCTCTAATGCCTATATATGGTGTCACGATTGGTTTCAGTTGTCAGCTTGATACACCTGGAAAGAGGGAACCTTGAGGAATTTCCTCCATCAGATTAGCCACATCTGTGAGGTATTTTCTTAACTGCTAATTGATGTAGGAGGTCTTAGCCTACCATGGGCAGTGTCATCCTTGGGCAGGTGGGCCTGGGCTGTAGAAGAAAGGTAGCCAAGCATGCCTCTGGGGGCTCTGCTTCAGTTCCTGCCTCCAGATTCCTGCCTTGGCTTCCCTCAACAATGGACTGTAACCCGTTAGCCACATAAACCTTTCCTCCCTAAGTTGGCTTTGGTCAGTGTTTTACCATAGTAATAGAAAGCAATATGGCTTTTTTCAAAAATAAAATGTGTAAAAATTTATTTCTTCATCATTTTAAACTCATTATCTGTAGCATTTCCATCCAAAGAAGAATAAATTACTTCCCTTGATGATAGAACATGGAGATTATCATTGTTCTTGGGTTACTTATTTTACATGCCTCAGAAGGTATGCTTATTGAAGGTCATATGCCACATACTGACATTTTTTGCTTAATGACAGATTGCATACAGGGCAGTGTGCTATGAAATTAGTGCATCTACTAGTGCTAGTTTGTGCAAGAACACTAGATGATGTTCACATAATGATGAAATCATACAACATTTTATTTTTTACAATACATCCCCATTGTTAGGAGCACATGTGCATATTGGTGTGTGTGTGTGTGTGTGTGTGTATTTTGAGGTGATCAGTAAGAATCTGGATGATACTTCCAGAGTACTACCCATAGTAAAGGTACAGCTGGGTGTGTTTTGACAAGGAGATAAGTCCTATGGTGCAACCATAGACACTTGCTTCCCAGCCCACTGTTACCTGCCGCAGTGAACAACCACAGCCACCAGGTCATACATGCGGTCCAGGTTCACAGCATCACTGGAGGTGTTGAAGAGTCGGAGCTCCAGAGGGAAGACCACCCGGTAAGACAGCTTGGTATACCTGTGGAGCTGTTCCATGTACTTGAACCTCTTTAGGTGCAGGGCCAAAATCATAGGCAGCTTTTTTACCCTCATCCTAAGAAAGCATGAAACAGAAAACCATCTGTACCCAATGCCTGTTAAGGAAAGAGAATACACTATTGCCTACAGTCCAAGCAAGAGCAGGAGACAGCCTAGCACACTCCAAATCAGCAAAGAACTAACTTTTCACGAGCATGAACATATGCTTGTGTAGGGAGACTGACTTATCCTACATCCAGTAAGAGAAAAGCATAGTAGTGTCTCACCATCTCTAGAGCATCCATAGTAGATGCTCTAGAACTTGTGCAATGCTCTATCACTGCCCTCTGCCTGCAGAGTAGAATGTATTTGGATAGTCCACTCCCAAATACATGAACAGGAAGGCTGAGAGGTTTAGAGAAAAGGAAACTTGGAAGAGAACTAGGTAAACCAATATAGACAGAACTTCAGGAAGCTTCTGGAACTCACAGAAATGGGCATCAGACCCCAAAAGTGCCAGGTTTGTGCTCACCCTTTACTCTTGTGATTTCATGCACATAGGTCCCCTACCATGGGTCCCACTACCAGCATTTATAAAGCACAAGGTTTGCTTTATGACTGTCCTCCCCAAACTAAGCTCCAGCGCCCTGGATATTTCAGTGGGGGCATGAGAGGGGGGCCATAGTCAAGTTTGAACAAGACTATTGCCTATTTTGAAGCCCTCCACATATATTAGTGGATTGAAGGCTTTGAGAAAGCTATGGTAAAGGAATTGTTCTAATCCCAACCTCACATAATAACACAGTATTTTTTTTCACTAGATGACCATTAATTAACATTCCTGGGTAAACTGCCACACAGTTAACAGTATATGTAGGTAACACTGATGAAGAGAGGCATCCAGCTCCCTTCTAGGTCCTCCCCTCCCCCATCTCCACTGATCCATGTGCTGAGCTGGCAAAAATGCTGCTGGGCTTGTGCAGTTGAAAAGGACCAATTCTAAGAGAACATTTACTGAAGAATCTAATAAGGCATAACCCTATTTATAAAAATAAGAAAAATAAAAATATTAGTAGCACCTAGTATGGTGCTTCTGCCTGATAATGCCAAAATTCAGGAGGGAGGTGGAGACAGGAGGATGAAACCTCCAGGGATGAACAGAAAGCACCTTCACGACACACAGGCAGGCTGGGGTCACCTTAGGCAGACTAAGATCATAAAGATGGAAGGGCAGAATTGACAGCTCTGTCTGCTAATATGTGGTACCTGCTGCCTGCTACAGTGCCTGGCTGTCTCTTAAGTTTTGATGCAGTCAAGACAGATGTACATGGGTGTCATGGAAGGTGAAGGAGGCTGAACAGAGAAATCATTACAACTTCAGGTCTATACCTCCCAAGGATTTTAGATGGCACTACTGAGCGTCTAAGAGCTACCTTGAAATCTCCTGAACCAAAGAGATAAATTTAACCCAAGTGAGAATTCACAGGAAGGTTAAAATGTCAAGCTTCTTGGCTTCTGGGGTGGACAATGGAGAACAACCAGTTATCTTGGATGGCCCAAGAGCTGTAACTGGTGGGTACTGGTAGGGGAACCCTGGATATGATGCCAAGTCAGAACACAACAACTTTCTTTTTTTTTTTTTAGGTCTTTTGAGACAAGGTCTCCCTGTAGCTGCAGCTGGCCTGGATTCACTAATGGAGACCAGGCTGGCCTCAAACTCACAGAGATCCTCCTGCCTCTGCCTCCCGCCACCATGCCTGGCTTGTAATGTTTACTTTTTTATTGCTGAGTGGCTGAAGAGACCTAGACTATCTGATCCTCCTGCCTCAGCTTCCCAAGTCCTAGGCTTGCAGGCATGTGCCGCCACACCCAGCTTTTTAAAATATAATGTTTAAACAGAGTATTTGGGCTTGCCTCGAACTCAGAGATTCGCCTGCCTCTGTCTCTCGAGTGCTGGGATTAAAGGCATGCGCCACCACGCCCAGCTTGAACACAACAACTTTCTTATCACCTGTCCCTGTAACTGATGGATCCTTGCCTCACAGCTCCATATTAAACAATGGGTTGTTTTTAAATCTCTGTCTAAAGCCTAAAGCAGCATTAGTAAGTGTCTATTGTGTGCTATGTACTGTACTAGGTACTAATCTTTAATCCCAAGAAGGGAATAATTATATTTAATCCCCACTTGTTTGCCCAGCACAGAATCTGACACACAGAAACAGTACTTGTTGAGCGATTAAAGGAATGAGCAAACAGACAAATGGCATCTTTGAAGGACAGCATTCTTGGCCTGGATTTATTGATGAAGAAGGTCACTGACCCCACCCACCCCAAAGCCCCACAAGGCTGACATTCCAAACTGGCTGAGCCTGTTTTTTCCCCCCCAAAGACACAAAGCCCCCCTCTGAAGCTGAGTCCTTCACGTACCTTTTCTGGGCCTCCTGTTTGCTGCAGCACATTTCACAATAATATTTTTGTTCACTACACAGTGTTTCTGTGTTACTGAAGTCTCTGTAGAGAAAAATATTTTCACCTCTTAAAAAAGTCCAAACATAATATACCACATTTTAAATCCCTCTATTACCTGTAGGGTAATTTTAAAGTGAAAGTGAGGAAAACAGTAATCACAAAAGATCCTTCTTAAGACTAGGGACCATTATACCATTAGAGCATGTCTACAGAACTGAGTTATGACTTCACTAGGACAGCTTTGCAAATATAGCTTGATTAGACCAGGCATGGTGCCACACACCTATAACCCCAGCACTTGGGAGGTTAAGCCCAAAGGATAGCAAACTCAAGGCCAGTCTGAGTTACACTATGAATTCAAAGCCAAGCCGGGTTTGATAATGAAACATTGTCCCCAAACAAAACAAACCAGAAAAACTTTAAGGAGACAAAGACTTACAAACTAGAGTTTCCAACAGATTCAGGGGTGGGGGTGGGGGTGAGTCACTATTTAGTAGGAAATACTTGTAAGTTAAAATTTTTTTAACTATAATGGAAAAATGCTATCTGTAGTTAAAAAAAAAAAAACTGAGATTCAAAAAAGGCAATCATATACAATCCAAAGTGGTATTATTATATTATGAAAAATGGTATCACAGAAGGTCCATATTTCAAAAACCACAGGAATAACGCCAGTAAAATCGAAACCACACAAATGACCTTATATCCAACTAAGAAAGCAATGAGATGGGGCTGGGGATGTAGCTTGGCTGGTAGAGTGCTTGCCCAGCATGCATGAGGCCCTGGGTTCAAGCTCTAGTGCTGCATAAGTCACATATGGTGGTACATGACTATAATCTTAGCACTAGGGAGTTGGAAGCAGGAGGATTAGGAGTTCAAGGCCATTCTTGACTACATAGCAGTGATTTCAAGGCCAGCTTAGGCTACATAAGTACCTGTCACACACGCAAAAAGTCATCAGGAGGTTCCAGGCTCCCACCCGCCACTGCTCCCCAGAGGATAAGAACTTTAACAGACGCCTCTGTGATGATGCTATGTGTGTTTGTCTTATCAGAGGCTTCTACCCTGCTACTTGGAGTTTTTGTATTCTAAATGTCACAGTCTTTTATTCTTTTTCTGGTCCTCAAGATTCTACTCTGCATGTCCATCTGGTTCAAAAGGCTGAAAAGAATATCCAGAATGTAATACTCTGCAGTTTTGAAAATATGTGGGACACTTCCTTATCTACATTCTCCTAACAGCAGAACGATCAGGTCTAATTAAAAAGAAAATGGCATTTAAATGGTGTTAATGACATACCACTTATATAGAACATATCAAGAGAAAACAGACTGATCATTCACTACATCCTGAGACATTTATTGAGAGTCCTGGGGGCCAGGTCCTGGGGATTTGGAGAGTAGTCACACTTATACACAGGCATATACAAATGAGCCTTTAGCCAAGGTAGTTTAGAAATAAATACTATATGTAATTCCCCTGCCTAAGATATCCCCCCAAAAGTTTCTTGCTGCACTCAGGAATAACAGTCCAGCTTGCACGCCTGTAGGCCAGGGGCACCAGACCCTGACTAATCTTACTGACATCATCTCTTACTCTACCAATGCCACTTTCTCTCTGCTCCAGCCACCTGAGCCTTGAGGTGCTGTCTCCTGTCTCAGGGCACTGGCAGAGGCTACTGTCTTAGCATGAAGAGCTTGTCCCAGAGGCCTCTATGGCTAGCTGGGCTAGTTATTCAGAGTTCAGTGAACTATCCTTTCTTCAGAGTGGATTTCCCTGACTATCTAAAGAAATTCATGATGCAGCCTGGTTTTGTTTTTTAAATATTTTATTTAGTGCTGGGCATGGTGGCACATGTCTTTAATCCCAGCACTCAGGAGGCAGAGGCAGGTGGATCTCTGGGAGTTCAAGGCCGGCCTAGTCTACATAGTGAGTTCCAGGCCAACTGGGGCTACAGAGAGAGACCCCATCTAAAAAAGTTATTTATTTTATTTTTATTTTATGTGTATGAATGTATTGCCCGCATGTATGTAAGTGCACCCATATTATGCAATGTACACAGAGGTCAGAAGAGGGCATCAGATCCCCTAGAACCGGAGTTCCCAATAATTGTAGCCACCATGTGGGTGCTGGGATTCAAATGCAGGTCTTCTGCTCTAACCACTGAGCCATCTCTCTAGCCCTCACCGCCTAGCTTTCTTCACTGCATATGTCCTCATTTAAAACCATTCTCCTGTGAATCTTACCACTTATTCTCCTCTAAAGCTTGCCTGTTTCTTTAACTGCAAGATACCCAGCCTGATGTATAGTGGCACTCAATGTCTGCTGAATGGATGAATGAACAGACAGATGAAGTATAAAGACCAGAGAAAAAGCACAGAGAAAAGAAGTAAGTTTGAACTGGAATAACTGAAGTGTTTCCGCTGTGGTGGCTTGAATGATAAATATCCCCAGAGGCTCACGTATTTGAACACTTGTCCCCTGTTGGTGGCACTGTTTGGGGAAGTTATGGAACCTTTAGAAGATGGAGCCTTGCTGGAGGAATTAGATAACTGGGGATGACCTTTGAGGGTTTATAGCTTGCTCCACTTCCTGCTCTTGCTCTCTGTCTTCCTGCATAGATGAAAATGTTAACTGGACAGCTTTCTGTTCCTGCTTTCCTCACCATTATAGACTCTGGCCCTATAGAACTAAGCCAAAATACCCACCACCCCCCTTAAGTTGCTTTTGGTCATGGTATTTTTATCAAAGCAACAGAGAAGTAACTAGCAAAACCTCTAAGAGGCAATGTCCAAGTCAGGTTCTCACAGAGGGAAAGTATGCCAGGAAGACACCAAAGTACAAAGACAAAGGACAGACACCCAGATGTGTGGGAGGACCACAACTGCAGTGAGTGGCACAGAAGCTACATGGAGCTGGCATAGGCCTTGTGGCTCAGGAGCCCCCAAACAGGTCTCTGCAAAGGAAGAGCGTATCCAGATAGTGTTTTTGAGAAATACTTCTTTGGACAGAACTAAAGAGAAAGAGTTGGAGGGGCTGGTTCAGACCTTCTGTTTCCAAGTACCTTGTGCATAAGCAGACCCAAGTACAGTCCAATGAAGACTTCCCTGTGTAACCGCTGAGAAGTATTGTTTCAGGGGATTAAGTGGAGTAAGGCAAGGGAGGAAGGGAGGGGTAGAGGCAATTGTGAAAATTCATATCTATGGGGGGCTAGAGAGATGGCTCAGCGGTTAAGAGCACTGACTGCTCTTGCAGAGGATCTGGGTTCGATTCCCAGCACCCACATGGCAGCTATGAACTGTCCTTAACTCCAGTTCCAGGGGAACCCAAAGCTCTCTTCTGACCTCCGTGGCATTGCACGACATGGGCACACACATACATGTAGGCAATACACTCACACATAAAATAAAAATAATAAATAAAATATTTTTAAAAAGAAAGAAAATTCATATCTATGGAATGTCTCCCCAAACATCCTTATCTAATAATGAACCAGAATAATCAAGGAAAGCACAGTAAAGAGTAAGGAATTAGGGGGGTGGAGAGACTGCTCCCAAGCAGCTCCAAGGTGGCTACAAACTGTCCTTAGCTCCAGTTCCAGGAGATCCTATGCCCTCTTCTGGCCTCCATGGGTGTTGCACCCATGTGGCACACTTGTACATAGACAGGCAAAACACTCATACACATAAAAATAAAAAAATAATAGAGTGAGGAATTAAAACATTCTTATATCTCAAAAACAAATTCTTTATGATATGTGATAGAATAAAATGAAATATAGCAGAAGTTCTTAATGGGTGAAATATCCCTAATCTCCAAATCCAAAATACTAGTCCCAAACATTTAGATCAGAGATGTTCAATTTGTTCTAATGTAAAAGCCCAGTTTACAAATAATCACCATGCTGCTTAGTCCCAGTGGGCCAGAAGTACATTGTCATAATAAAAACAGTGATGCTGTTGTGACACTGGACCTTAGAAACAGGAAGTAAAGCTAAGGAGCTAGAGAGACAGCTCAAAACTTAAGAGCACTGGCTGCTCTTGCAAAGGACCCAGATTTGATTCTCAGCACCCACATGGTAGCTAACAACAATCTGTAACTCCAGATCCAGGGGATCTGATGCCTCTTTCTGGACTCTGCAGGCACTGCACAACACTCATTACCCAGGCACTGGGTACACTTACATTCATGTAGGCAAAACACTCACACACATTAAATAAGGATAAATAAATCCCCCCAAAATATTTTTCTAAAGTGAAGGTAAGTGAGGGGCTGACGGAGGAGGAAGAGAAGCAAAGCCAAGTCTGTGCGTTCAAGCTGGGAGTTCTGAGAACAGCACCTCCTGGTGCTGCACGCCTGGAAATGCAGGCTCAGAGGTTCAGTCAAGGAGGCTGCAGAGCTTGAAGCCAGCCTCCCACATAAGGGGAACAAAAAACCAAAACCATAAAATGAACAAGAAAGGTCAGGATCCAAAGAGAAGTCAAAAGGGGAAGTAGGTGGGAAAGAGGTCTTTTTGGCACTTAGGATAAATTACTGAAGCACAGAGAAGAGGCCAGGGGAGAGCCCAGAGCTGTCTGAGTTGCTTTCAAAGGAGTCATAGTAGAAACTGAACATTATTTTAAGATTCACCATGGGAATAAATCTAATAAAAAATGCATGCCTTGGGCTGGAGAGATGGCTCAGCAGTTAAGATCACTGGCTGCTCTTGCAGAGGCCCCAGGTTCAAATCCCAGCACTCACACAGTGGCTAACAACCATCTGTAACTCCAGTTCCAAAGGAACCAATACCCTCTTCTGACTTCCACTGACATTGTGCAACACGGGTGTACTCACATGCATGCAGGCAATACACTCATACAGATAGAGAGATAGATGATAGATAGATAGATAGATAGATAGATAGATAGATAGATAGATAGATGATAGATGATAGATAGATAGATAGATAGATAGATAGATAGATAGATAGATAGACAGACAGACAGATAGATGGATAATTTGTTCTAGACTTAGGTTACCAGCTGTCGCCTAAACGCCATTAA